TTGGATACCAAATTGTGGTACTGCTCATTTGTGGGTATCCGGTTGCCATTTGACGTCACCGCTTGCTGGAATTCGGCTGGGGTGATGAAAGCAAGTGTCACGCCTGTAATGAGATTCGCATTTACATGGATAGTGAACTTTGCATATTGAGAATTAAAACCTAACAAGAAAGGGCGTTCATTGGATTACCCGATAATTGTAAAGACGAAAATAAAGTGCTTGAAATCGCCCACGTAAACGTGGCGTGCATGTGTGCAAATAATTTTCCCGAAATATTGACCATGCTGAAAATTTTAACGGATAAGTTAATCTTTGTTCACAATCTGATCGATTTGGCGAAAACCACCTTTCCTCAAGTCGAGACTTTTTGATAATTTTTCTTCTTCTGACTGGCGCCAGCTAGGGTTTTTATATAGGACCAGATAGGACCAGAACTTTGCCGCTCAAGTGTGTTTGCTTCCTACGTTAGGGTCACGATATTTCGATTATCCCACTTGACCGCTGTATTTGTGTGATAAATTTGATGACAGTGATCGTCTTCCGATTGCTCTCTAAAAAAATTTATGTTTCAAGGTGACTTAAGTTTGTGAGACTCAAAGTGGTTCGATGGACTTGAGGCTGACACCAACGCAAAAATGAAAAGTTTGCGATGTTCAGGTGCCATCGATATCAACCAAGGTTAAAAAGTCGTTGGGCGTCACTGTAGGAAACTGCTAATTCTACCTGTGCTGTACCACTACTTAAGAAGTACGAGGAGCGAGGTCTTTGCTCAGTGTACAACTTTGCTGAGTATGTCATGCTCACGTCACAAAGCCTGAAAAGCCTGTGCGTAGCTCGTGACGTATAGTATGCAAAGTTGTACGCCGAGCAAATTAAAACCTTGCTTCTCGCACAATAAGTCAATTTAAAAACTTTTCTGCTTTATCACAAGCGACCTGATTGATCGTTTTGTTCGTCCACCTAGTCAATTTGGGTAAATTAAACCTTGTCCGTTCCCATGTGTAGGGCATGCTAAGTTATATGGGTATTTTCCTACGTTAGATTCATGGCGGACAACCTATGTAGAGCTGAAGTGTACACTCTTTTCGTGAGTAAGTTTTTTTGCCTAAGCACACGTATCGAATTTTCCAACAATGTACCACGAATAACCACGGAGAAGAACAAAAACACTATTACGTTTTCTTCAATGTCGAAGTAAAGTTGCCGCTCAAAGATTTCAAGATGGTCCATCCAACATCCCCGCCACTGAACTCGGTCGGAACAGGGTTACATCCACATCCGCCCACAGTCTGTAAGCCCATCCCGTTGGCCACTTCCTCGATTCCGGCTTCTTCCGGCTTGACTGACATTCGTGTACATCCGTTGTACACCGCGGGTATTCTCGCACCCAGCAGCTGGCTGCTTCTTCAAACATCTGGCTGCCCACTACGTCCTTCCAGTGGGCGAAAAAGGGAAAAATCTTTATCACTGTACATAGACCTCTGCAATGACTTCAATACTCACAGCACGATCGTCACATTTGATAGCATGCGTAGAGTTCACTCGAGAAAACTCTGACGTCATACAGTAATCAGTTTTACTTCCCAGTAAGAAGTATCGCAATGAATCATCAAAAGTACAACACTCGGAGCAAAACAAGTTCGCCTTCTGTGTGTCGTCGAACATAAAATATTGCTGGACACCTTTTGTAATCGAAATGCTAGAAACAACATCCAGAACAACACTAGCAGTTACTTCCGAGGGTACTTCCTCTTCGTACACGATTCCGCACTTTCGAAAGCAATTCTGTATAGTTATGACCTCCACACTTTTGAGCGCTTCCAGTGACCAGCTACACACATCAAACACAGGTTTTTGACCGAAAAAGGCCATGAAATTGGCATAAAATCCAGAAGCAACCTGCTATCGTGAAATCAGCTTTTTTTTCTGACAAACTAGCGATCCGGCTAGGCTGACGTTTCCCATATCACTGCCCCGAATGGAACTATGGAAGCGCACGAAATCCTCCATTTGTCTGATCGCTTTCAGCTGATCGGCGGCTTTTTTGTTAATCGTCCTGGTGGGTACGCGGCGTGGCGCTTTAGTCGTCACGCTGCCGGACAAGACATGTTCCCTACTCAGTACGCATCACATTGGAGTACTCTATGCTCTAGCCATGAATGTGGTTCCGTATGGTATGGTATGAAATGGTATGGCAGGAGAAGCTCCGGTGGCTCTGTTTGGCTGTGCTTACGTGAAACTGCGGGACGCAAGGACCACGGCTGAGGGGCTAAAGCGTAAATGTGCGCTGCGGAAAAAACTTATTATTGGTTATAACCAGGTCCGTGCTCCTGTCGCTAATCTGGCGCCTCAGCTGCCTATCCCAACTGACGCACTAATCACGGGATACCCCAAGGTCCTCGCAACAGTGCCAGCGTGTCCGCACCGCACTACAATACTGTATGCTTGGAATCCGGTACTAAAACAATATTGGTAATTTGATTCTATGAATAAGCTCAACTTTCTTAATCATGTTACAGTAGCCCAGTTTCAACGCGTGTTCTATATTGCCCATATTTTGATTTCTTCATTATGATCAGCTCGGGACATATATATGGAGTAGTTGAGAGAAAGCATTTGACGCGTATGTTGTCCGCACAAAGTTTCGAGCTGGCTTAGTGGTCAATTTCAACTGTAATTAAAAGATGAGAAAGCGGTGTGATGGGGTAAACTTAGGCGCTGAAACATGAGTATCTTCGTTCTGCAACTCTTATTCACGTTTGGCCTACGTACACTTGATCTCAACAACTGTCTCAGGTTTAATTACAGCTGGAATTAATTAGCAATACGAGTCGGTGGGCGAGTTGGCGAAGAGTGACGCGAGAAGATTTTGTGCAATTGGTGGGTCCTTTCGTAAAAAAGCCCTGATGACGTATTACTTGCATGGTCCCGTCGCCTCATACTTGGGTCTATATACAGTAGATTTCCAACACACTGACTTCTGTCTTTAGGATTGATCTTTCAGTTCCTAACGTTAACTGTATTGCGGTTGGGTCTGATAGCGTAGGCCCTGTTTCGAATAAACGCAATGCCTAAATCAAATCGAAAGTACCATTTTCGGTCGGCTCATTGGCATATCTACCTGCTCATCTGAGGGATCACACTGTCCTTGACGGAACTCAGAATCCTCAGGGTATGGAACCTGCTCAAACACGTATCCGAACCCCATACATCCAACTGATATCACTGCCCAAACTCTAAAGGTCCTTGGACTCGCCCGACCGTCGATATATACCCACCTTTATGTGTACTATCAATAATAACACCATGGTATTGACACTTTAGCGAAGCTTCACACTTTGGTAGTTCGGATCAGCGTTATCTTTTGACTGATATCGGAGAGCCCCACGAGCGTGCGACGCCGCCACGGTCACCTTATTATTACTCTGCGATGAGCAAGTTTAAGCGTCCCGAATTCTCAAAATCATCAGCTTTGTTTGAACTTCCGCGACGAAGGGTAGACGTGAGATAACCAATGCGCAGACCGATCCGTAGTAGCGCTACAGATGCAGGATAGTGTTCGCAGAGTTTGGTTTTCGTATCCTCGAACTTGCTTTTGAGAGTCTTCCAACTACGCTCTATTATAATGGAGAATACCGAAAAGATTACTGCTGGAGAACATCCACCTCCATATCATCAGCAGCAGATACCGACTGGTCCACCGCAGCCGCATTCCTATCCTGGGTACGGTACAGGGTATCAGCAGACGACGTACCCTCATGGATATCATCATCCAGCCCAAGACTACGCTCCTGTATCGCACGGATACGCGCCTGCACCGCACGGATACGCGCCTCCACCACAAGGATATGCTTCTCATCCTATGAGTTACCCGCATCCGCCACACGCCTGCGCTCCTGCTCAAAATCAGGTGTCTGTTGTAATTCCAAGAACATTGATCATTCGCACAAACGACGGCCTTGCCGGATGGTAATTTTGATCTTTTCCAGGCTACGAGTTCGGTAAATGTCCATATTGCCCAAGGGGCCGGTCAGTCCCAACATACCGTGATTCTACAAAAACGGTACGCTGCACCAAACTTCTTTCCTCAATGGACAACATTAACATGGAAGGTAGAGACCCCACCATTCTTCCGTTCGGATGCTGCCTATAGCGCAAGCGAAAGTTCGCCAGCGAACCGTGACTGTTTACGACTCACGTGGAGTGTCGCTGTTGCACGTTACGTTTTCGCTGGCGTACATCCGCATCCGCTGCTGAGGGTACCCGGAAGTTCAAAGAGGGGGGGGGGGGGGGGGTCACACCGCAATCGTCCATCGAAAAGCTACACATTCTTCGCAGTTCGCTCTGACCCCGTCAAAACTACTCTGGGCATATACTGTATGATACCTACGTTGAAACCGCCGGTTTTTTCCGTAGGGGCGTGAACCATTGCCTGCATTTCATCATTACGCTATTTATTCCTCCCTGGATATTTGTATGGATCTTCTGTGAGTATTGAGATAGAGATAATCGTTCCAAATAATATATGCTGACCCTACAAGAATTCCTACTTTAGTGTGTATCACGGATAATTAATCAAGAAGCATACCTTCGAGGTACTCGTACTACTTTCCTTTTGCATCAACGCTCTCCCACTTGGTAACACAAGTGCTCGCGCAAGAACTTCTTTCCGATAGCAGTAACCTTCGCTACAGAATCCCGCGCTTTTCTTTTTCCGTTATTTTGTTTCTTGTTTCGTTGGTTAAGAGTTGGGTAGTACCACCCACTCCCATTCACGCTCGCACGACATAAAACATAAGGTATGTAACTCAGAAGACATTGTCTCGAGCGAATAAGAACCAGACGACTGAGACCAGTAAATTCAACGACAAACATTTCACGGCGGAGTTACAGCGGATGAACTACTTCTTGAAATGAGTTTAGTATCGAGATTTCGCCCTGGGGAAGATAGCTTTCAGTTTAAGCTCAATCGAACAACGTCAGCTTCCATAATACGAATCGGTTGTATGGTGTAGTGGTAGCACGTCGGACTCTGAATCCGTCGACCCGAGTTCGACCCTCGGTACGACCTACCTTTTTGCCAAAATCGTGGTGCTGTAATGCTGTTCCCATGTTGCTGACTTTTAAGCCATAGTGAACACATTTTGCAAGAAGGTCGAAGACGTAAGAGAAATAAGGTGATGAGTCGTGGACAAAAGAGTACCGGCTCCATAAGAACGTGACTCTGTTGGCTTCTGTATGGAAACACGATGGGTAATTATGGGACAGTGAAGATCATGAGACAGACCTTCTCGCTACGGCGGTACGCGTTACGGAAACACGTACGTACACAATCGAGTCACACTGATGTACTTTTCGACACTTAGCTACAGTTGAATTTCCGTTTTGCCGTCCTTTCTGCCTCTCCCTTAATTTTTTGTACTGTCCTATAATATCCATCATGCGTGTACTCCTGTTCAGTGTTATTTTACTATGCAATTAAGATTATTAAAAGTCACGTGCTAATGTTAAGTCTACGTGATCAGCTGACTGCAAGTAAAATCAATTATCGCTGACACATTTCAATTATTAAAATTGAAATTCGATTTCCTATTATGGATCAATCACTCAAGCGAACACCAACCCGCACAATTAAAAGGATTTCAGTTATTAGAATCGATTTCCTACTATAATGATTAAAATAACACTGCTCCTATTTATCGTAACTTTCTTTTTTTCTTCATCCGAAAGAGGAACGTTGAGTCGTTAATGGACCAGATGAAACAGCGGGATAATAAGTCAGCTGATTGCAATGATAGCATGTTGAACAGAACAAAAAGTTAGGTCATACCGAGGGTCGAACTCGGGTCGACGGATTCAAAGTCCGACGTGCTACCACTACACCATACAACCACTTGGTAACAATGAATGGAAAGTTATCGTTTCAAGACAACATTAAACCAGTTGTCTCCGCAGGCAAAATTTTGTCGCACGTGTGAGAAGACAAACGTGTAATTTGTCAGGTACATACATCGCACATTTTTGTTGCATGTTGATAGGTTTCGGAAATTAAAATCTGTAAGGTAACTTGCAAGTTACGTTATCTTCTCGTTCCCGAACTTTTGTGTTCTTAGTGCAACTGACGAGTGACGATCTCGTTTTGATGAGTCAGCAACATTCCCCGCCGTTGCGCTGTTCAGCCTTGATTTATTGATTAACTACTGCAGTTGGTCTATCGGCTGATTGGTTAACGCTTATCGCTTGATTGAGAAGCACGTCCAAATCTTCTTCACCATAGTTTTCTAACTTTTCTTACCGTCCCCCACCTCCTGTTCCTGCACTACTCGATCAAACCTTTGAAACATCTGTACACGAATGGACATTCCTCTCCCACCGGAACTAATGGACATCCCGGAGCCAGCTACCGAGGACGACGCAGCTGGTAACGCCGATGAAGCCAAAAATGGCGATAACGAAGAGGCTGCCGTCAAGACTGAACCTTGGTCCGATGATGGCTCGGAGACTGTACTAGGAGCAGCAGCAGTGACTGGGGATAGGGAGAAAGCCACACTACGCGTCTTACCTTCGCCGGGAGCAACACATGCTGGAGCTCCCAAAGATCCAGACGTGGCCAAGCCAGCCGAGCTGAAGAAATTGTGGAAGCCCGTGCGCAGTAACCCTTCGGACTTCACTGCATGGACGGTCCTTCTCGCTTACGTCGAGCAGCAGGTAACGGAAATCTTTGAAGCTCACGGAGTAATATGTGATCTCGCACAGGAAAGTGCTGTCTGAAGGTCGAAGAATCATTGAATCGTACGATCACGATATTGTGCTCGCTGTCATCCATGACCTCACGGTTAGTTCTGTCTGGATCGCGAAGAATCCGTCTATGGAGTCTAACATCCTGACGTCATTGGCGAATTACCCCGGAAGATGGGTGGCAGTTTGCTGGAAGGCCTACGCGCTTTGCAGTGTTGTGGGTGCTTCGCCCACCCATTTTCGGCGTGCTCGTAGGACTTGCTGCTAGAAATGTTTTCGTTTGCTTATTGATTTGTATTGACTGTTGACGGACTTCTGATTTTGGTAATTTGTTTTGCAGGATCAAATTGGTTTCATCCGAGAAGCCTACGATGGCTTCTTCCAGCGCTATCCATACTGTTACGGCTACTGGAAGAAATACTCCGAGATGGAGATGAAGCATGGCTCGCCCGAGCAGGCTGAAATGGTTTGTGAAACAAGCAAGCGCGACTCGCTGGCTTGATTTCTCTCGAAATTCAAAGTCCCAGTTCTTTTCTTGACCGATATGCCGTTGATGGCTGTCCCTAATTTACTCCATAGAAGACCATGGAAAGAAAACAGAGCAGGCCTGTCTGTAAATGTCGTTAAGTCAGAGACTGCCACGAGAGAGAGGAGCGTCTCTTATTTCACGGTGGTAAAAACTTCACTTTTTCTCTTCAAATTTTTCTTCAAAGCCGTGAAGGCACCACTCCACTCCACTTACTAACCTCGTGTTTTCTCGTGAACCATCCAGGTTTTGGAACAAGGTGTGGTGGCTTGTCCGTTGAGCGTCGAGCTGTGGACGTTCTATGTGGACTTCTCCAAGGAACGCTACAAGGGAACCGTCGCTGGTGAAGGCCGTATCAGGGAGTAAGTTCCAAACATACCTATCATACCTCCATCCATCAACCTCTACCTTTCCTTCGCAGGATTTACGAACGAGCTATCGCAGCCGTGGGCTTGGACTTCAAGTCTGATGAGCTGTGGGACGTCTACGCTCAGTGGGAACGTTCGTTAGGTCAGCACCGAAACGTCGTGGGTATCTACGAGCGCCTCATTCGCATTCCTACCCTACATTACAGACGCCACTTCGATGAGTACGTTCATCGAGAAAAAAAATCTGGTAATCCGGCAGAGTTGGTTGGAATCTATCTGCTGTTTTTCCTGCAGACTACAACAGTCTCTCCTGGTCGCCTCCGTAAAGGAGCTGATCAGTGCCGAAGAGTATGAAACGCTTTTGGCTTCTGTACCTGAGGTAGGCCGGTCTTTCACCAGCATTTCCGTTTCACTTTTACGTGCGTGAAGAATTGTGTGGTGCAATTTCAGAAAGAATCCATGGAGTTGATGTTCGGTCAAGAGAAAATGAAGGTAAGATCGAGACAGAACACAAAGGAAATCGATGACGGTAAAGCGAGGTTCCGAAAGAGGAACACGGACTTTGTGTCGGTAACAACGGAAGCGTTTGTTTTGATAGGGAGAGGACGCCGAAGCTTTCGTTCGCAATATGGCCATCGAATCGCGTCGGACTCTGTACAAAGAGACCGAGAAGGAAGCCAGCAAGCGTTGGGCTTTCGAAGAGAACATTCGTCGACCATATTTCCATGTTCGTCCCTTGGAGAACAACCAGCTCAAGAACTGGAACGACTACCTGGACTTCGAGATCGCTGAGGGTCAACAGAACCGCATTGTATTCCTCTTCGAGAGGTGTCTTGTTGCCTGCGCACTGTATGAAGATTTCTGGCGAAAAGTAGGTCCTTTCTTTTATTTTCACTTGCTTCTCTTCCATCAACTGAACATCGGTTTCTCTTTGTAGTACATCGGCTACCTCACGATAGAGTCACTAACCGACTACATTCGATATGCCTATCAGCGTGTCTGCACATACCATCTTCCCAGCAAGACGGGCCTGCATCTGGACTGGGCCACCTTCGAAGAAATGCAAGGTATGGCAAATTTGATTCTTGAAACAGAATGAGACGTGGGCAAACGACTGGAACCAGATCGTTTCCTCAAGCGACGCACGGTGATAGTGATACTGGCAGAAAGCGTGTGCCACTTGGGAAAGCTGACGAGATCGTCGGCTCAAGTGGCGCACGGTTCAGCCAATATGCCTGAAAACATGCGCCACTTGGGTAAACGATCTGAGACGAGGTGATTTGCCGAGCTCCCAAATATCGAAGTTATTTTTATGCTATTTTGTTTGCAGGGAATATTGCCGGCGCAACGGCAGCGCTCCAGAATGGATTGAGGCATCTGCCGAACAAGGCCATTCTTTCACTACGGCAGCTCGGTCTGACGCGGCGGACGAGATTGCGAGAAGCCTCCAGCAATGCCGAGGACGTGAAAGCCGACTCGGACGCCATCACGGAAGCTGTTCAAGAGCAATACGCCAAGATCATCAACGAGGCAGAAGATGCCGGGCTAGCGGAGTTCTTCCTGCTGAAGCAGGCCCAGTATTGGCTAAAGATGAAGGGGGATAAGGACAAAGCCATGGAAATACTACGGGCTGGACTAAAACTTGATCCTGTAAGCACGGTGAATACAGTAAAGAATGTGGGTGGGGTGAATTTATGAGTTTTCCTTTTGTTGCAGACGAGCATTCCTGTGTTGACGGCATTGATCGACTGTGAGCTGCACCAGATACCTCTCAACCTTCCAGCCGTCGCGGCACTCTTTGACGAAATTACAGAAATGGAACAACTCAATCCTGACCAGAAAGCCGAATTCCTCGAGAGAAAGATTTGCTTTCTTGAAGACTTCAGCACAGACGTCCGAGAGTAAGTCCACATATAAGGCTGTTTCCGCAAGATTCTTACGAACCTGCATACCATCTCTTGTTGAGCAGCTTCGAGTAGGATGTATGCAGGTCCTTGACCGTCTTGTTGACCAGTTATGTCACTTCGCTGTCACGCACCTGCACATGTACGTGCGAATGTTATCGCGATAACCTACGTATGCAGATTCCTGATGTTTTGCTGTGTTGCCTTTTCATTCAAGAATGTCGGTTTTATAGGATTGCCGCTGCCCACCAGCGGTACTACGAACTAAACGGTAAAACCACCAGAGGTCGAAAAAGAGGCTTCGGTGAGGTGGATGTGGAAGATGGTCTGAGCGACGGAGTACCACCGGCCGGTGCGAAACACGGAGCGCCAGCCATGCACGGACAGTTCCCTGGACCTGGTCTGATGCAGCCTCCTGCTGGAACAGTGCCAGGTTACTTCCCACCACCGACCAGCATGCCGGCACCCATGATGGCTGGTGGATGGCCTGCCGCTGCACCTCCCATGGTAAGTGATAACTTTTCACTATGGAGAG